TCATGTGCAGAACATGAAACTAGACCATTCTGGGATCCCTGGGTGGCGCAGCGGTTTGGCGCTTGCCTTTGGCCCAGGGCGCGATCCTGGAGACCCGGGATCGAATCCCACGTCAGGCTCCCGGTGCATGGAACCTGCTTCTCCCTCTGCCTATGTCTCTGCCTCTCTCTCTCTCTCACTGTGTGACTATCATAAATAAATAAAAAAAAAATTAAAAAAAAAAAAGAAACTAGACCATTCTCTTACACCAGACACAAAGATAAACTCAAAATGGTTTAAAGATCTAAGTGTGAGACAAGAATCCATCAAAATCTTAGAGGAGAACACAGGCAACACCCTTTGTGAACTTGGCCACAGTAACTTCTTGCAAGATATATCTATGAAGGCAGAGGAAACAGAGCAAAAATGAACTACTGGGACTTAATCAGGATAAAAAGCTTCTGCACAACAAAAGAAACAGTCAATAAAACTAAAAGACACCTACAAAATGGGAGAAGATATTTGCAAATGACCTATCAGATAAAAGGCTAGTATCCAAGATCTATAAAGAACTTATCAAAGGTCAAGAAACAAAAAATCCAATCATGAAATGGGCAGAGGGCATGAACAGAAATTTCTCCAAAGAAGACATACACGTGGCCAACAAGCACATGAGAAAATGCTCCACATCACTTGCCATGAGGGAAATACAAATCAAAACCACAATGAGACACCACCTCACACCAGTGAGAATGATGAAAATCAACAAGACAGAAAATAACAAGTTGGAGAGGATGTGGAGAAACTGGAACCCTCTTGCACTGTTGGTGGGAATGTGAACTGGTACAACCAATCTGGAAAACTGTGTGGAGGTTCCTCAAAGAGTTCTAAATAGAGCTACCATATGACCCAGCAATTGCACTGCTGGGGATTTACCCCAAAGATACAGATGCAGTGAAATGCTGGGATTCCTGCACAGCAATGTTTATGGCAGCAATGTCCACAATAGCCATACTGTGAAAGGAGCCACGATGTCCTTCAACAGATGAATGGATAAAGAAGATGTGGTCTATATATACAATGGAATGTTACTCAGCCATTAGAAATGACAAATACCCACCATTTGGTTCGATGTGGATGGAATGGTGGGTATTATGCTGAGTGAAGTAAGTCAATAGAAGGACAATCATCATATGGTTTCACTCATACGTGGAATATAATAAATAGTAAAAGGGATTATCAGGGAAAGGAGGGAAAATGAGTGGGAAAAATTAGAGAGAGAGAGACTAACCATGAGAGACTCCTAACTCTAGGAAACAAAGGGTTGTGGAAGGGAAGGTGGGCAGAGGTTTAGAGTAATTGGGTGATGGGCACTGAGGAAGGTACTCGATGGAATGAGCACTGGGTGTTATACTCTATGTTGGCAAATTGAACTTAAATAAAAACAAATGAAAAATAACAAATATTGTTAAAATGTCTATGCTACTGAAAGCAATCTACACATTCAGAGTAATCCCTATCAAAATACCATCAACCAAGCCTTCTTCACAGAGCTAGAACAAACATTCTAAAATTTGTATGGAACCAGAAAAGACACTGAATAGCCAATAGGATGTTGAAAAAGAAAACTAAAGCTGGAGGCATCACAATTCTGTACTTCAAGTTGTACTACAAAGCTGTGATCATCAAGACTATATGGTACTAACACAAAAACAGACACATAGATCAATGGAATAGAATAGAGAACCCAGAAATTGACCCTCAGCTCTATGAGCAACTAATCTTTGACAAAGGAGTTAAGCTCCTTTCAAATTCCTGATTCACAGAAACTGTAAGATAATAAATGTGTTAAGCTGCTTAAAAAAAAAAAAAGGCCACAGAAAGGAGAGGACAGAGGAAGAGGGAGGGAGAAAAGGAAGAAGGGAGGGATCAGGGGATGGAGAGAGAGACAGAGATGAAGATATTGAGGAAGAAGTTGATAGACACAGAGGAAGGACTGCGGAACTCCAATCTAGAATGAAAAGAGAATAGTTAATATATAAAAGTAGAAACCTTCTTGAACTTTAAAAGTATTCAAATCCATTGTTTCAAAGAGTTGGTTATATCTTGAACCAAAAAAAGGGGGGGGGGCGGATTCCAAGTTTAATCCAAAAGAGAAAGTAAAAAGAGAGAGAGAGAGTCACGCAGGTATGCTGGCAGCCAGAAAACACAATAAAACAAAAACAAAAGGAAACAGTTTATTTTTAAGTTATCTGCATGACCTTAGACACTCTGCTGTACTAAATTATAGGAGAAAAGGGGGAAAAAACAGTAAGAGTGACATCAGCAAAATGGCCAAATATATTCGCTTGAACCACAATTTGGCATCTGTCCACAGACAAAGGTGCCTCATTGGGATCTGGGGGCCAGGTGGAGATTTTGAAACCCTGGTGCAGTCCAAGACTGAAGAGGACCATTTTGGGAAGGCAGGCTCACAGCCACACCACGGATTCAACAACAGCATGCCGTCTGGTGACAGAAAAGGGAACTCCATATACTTGGGAACTTTGCCACAGCCCACTTTAGCTGTGGGTCTATAATCCTTTTTTCTCTGCTCCTTGGAAGATATTTTTAGAAAATATCCTCAAATTTATGTTTCATTGGCATTATTGTACAGCATTAAGGAATATCCTTAAAATTACCATGAGTAATGCCCTGATAATGACATTGAATGATGCCATTGTAATGATGAGCTATAAGATTGATGCAGAGGATGGCTTGTTAATGAAGTGGAAAGTAGATTAAGTAAAATGTCAAATTAATTAGAGGAATGCAAGATTATGTAGAAAGAGTCAGAACTCAGCTTTATTTATTTTTAGGTGCTTTCTAAATCAGTCTGATACTAATACGTTAAAATTATAGAGGTGATCATTTTAGGATAGTGGAATATAAGGTGATGTATAAATTAAGGAAGAAGCTAAATTGCTGTAACAAAGAAGCCAAAAACACAGTTGTTCAACAAAAGAGAAGAGTACTTATTACCCAAATAATAGTTTGGAGACTGGCAGGTGGTTCAGTGCTAGTAGGAGGCTGTACAGTTAGAGCTCCTTCAGAAGGAGCCTTTGTTTCTGAACCGCATCCTTAACCCCTGCCCACTAGCTCCAAGCTGGTCCACTTGCACCAATCTATGTTCTAGCCTATGGGAAAGGTGGAGGGAGGATAGGCTAAGCAGATTCCTTATAAAAATGTGATCTACCCTCATGGAACTTAAACAGATCCTAGCAAAGGTAGTCAGCAACTGGGCTTTGGTGTAACTTCCTCAAATGCAGCAGGGGTTCTATAGCTTGAAGTAGAAAAGGTAAGGATGCGGCCAGGGTCATTTAGCCATTAACCAGAAGACTTTATTTCTTAATGTTTTTCTATAATTTTTAATTAAAAAAATAGACATATATTCCATTTATGATTTTTACAGGCACAAACACACACACACAAACAAGGAAGAAAAGAAACTCAATGACTTCATTCTATAATGCCTCTTCAAATAAAGATATCTATTATAGGTAGACGTGTGCTCTACAGATGCTTTGCTCTTGTCAGATTTGAATACCAAGGAGAAAATGATGAAATGAATTATCTAACAGAACCCATAATCTCAAAGTCGTTTCTTTGGAGCTTTCTAATAGAGCATATTGTTGTCTTGATTTTATGTATTGTATTTTTATAGCAGATCAGCCTTCCCTACTGCAGTTTCTAGTTTGAGTAGTAAGTAAAGAATTTTCACTCAGTGAAACCCTGTTTATCTCCAGGAGGAATTAGCTGGAATGCTCTAGGTGGCTGTGAGAAGTTGTCCTGAGTCAGAAATGCACACAGACAATTCAGAATTTGCTCCATTTCATTATTTTATCTTTGTTTCTTGATGCTTTCTAGTTGGATGGATTGCAACATTTCCCCCTCTGCAGATTAGAAAGAAATATCAAGAGATTCTCCAAAGAATATGAAAACTTCAGGTCTATTTATTTCTCCAATTATAGGCTTTGGCTTTCAGATCAAACCTTATGTTCATTTCTAAAATTTTAAATCATCGGTGGGTTTTAAAATATTGCTAATTACCAGAGACAAAAAATGTCAAAGTGTTGAAAATATTAAAAGTGAGCAATATGCCTGCAAAAAAAAAAAAGTTTTCAACTGAATTTCTCAGCTAATGACAATGACAACGTGGGTGTTAATTTAGCTATTTTAACTGACAAACACATATGATGCAATGGCACATGAAATACAAGAAGACTGATGAAATATGAAATCTATTGAGTGGAAAAACATTGGACATGGATGGGATGGTTTTATAAGTGGTAGAAAATGCCCATTTAGGGAAAAGATAAGTGTTCTGTCAATCTAGATCCTGTGGATTTAATAGACTACTTGGGTATTCTTGTTGCTGTGATGTCCTCCCCACTCCCCACCATGATTATGGCAATGACTTTTAAGTAAATAGAACCACTTAATAATTTGATATTAGAGGTCACTAATGGCAGCTATTTATGGACATAGCATTGCCTCAAGCTTAAAATGAATAAATAATAAAGCTAATAATAATGGCTAACGCTATGGGCCAGGGATATTTGAAATGCATTACCTATGTCCATTAAATCCTCACAACAGTCCTCTGAGATAGGTACTATTATTATCCACATCTTACAGATGAAAAAAATCACTGTTAAATTGCTTTAATAATCTTTCTAGATTCATGTGTGTTTTAAAAGTACCAGTGTGTGTTTGTGCCCATGCGCACATGCTCTTTCTACAGAAGATTAGCAGAAAGTAGATTGCAGAAAGAAGCAAATACAATTGATCCTTGAACAACAGGGAGATTAAGGGCACCAAACCCAATCAAATATCTGAATATAATTTTTGACTCCCAAAAAGCTTAACTGCTAATAGAATACTATTGACCAGAAGCCTTACCAATAAAATAAACAGTAGATTAACATATATTTTTGTATATCATATATTATATGCTGTATTCTTATAATAAAGTAAGCTTGATTGTTTCTCAGCCTTTTGGCTAAAATCAAGTGTAGTGTCTGTTCTTATCAGTTTAATATTTGGTATGTCCTCAATTCAAGGACAATATATTACATGGATTTTTGGAACAAGGAGATACACTAGGAGCTTGCTCCATCCACTCCATGCATCGACCTGGTATTGAAGTACTTCTAAGAATGGTGAACCCTTATTGGTGAATTAAAAAAAAAAAAGTAAGCCAGAGAAAATAAAATGTCATTTACTACACTGTCCGGTATTTAGCTATACAGTAAGTTTACATCAACTGTCTATAAGCCAAATCATCCATCTGTTAGCACCTACATCAGTGTTGTCTTATACAAAACATCGTGGATGTATATTAGCACTAGACATCAAAAATGAAAAGATAATGAATAGTGCTTGTGTGCATAAGTTTTAATAAATTTTAACTTTTTATAATAGATTGTAGATATTTTATGGTAGTCCATGATAAAATAGAATTGTATTTGCATAGTTTTATGCACTTATGACATACTCAACTTTTTCTTAATTTTTTCAATATTGATAAGCCTAGGTGGTTCCATGCAAATTTTTTCAAACTGTCACAAATCTCCCAAATTTTTCTAACATATTTATTTTTTTTTAATTTGCACATAAGTAGACCCACACAGTTCAAACCCATGTTGTTCAAGAGTCAGATGAAGTTGGAGAAATGTCCCGTAGGTTTGCATATTGTTGGATACTTGAGAACCATATAGTTGCATACTTGAGGAGCCTTGTGGTAGATGAGGCCGATGGATTACGATGAACAACAGGTTAGGAATGGGCTTTAGCTTTGTTCGAAAATTGCAATTCCAGAATGTCTTCTGGAAAAGAAAAGCATTCTGGTAACAGTAATAAGGGGAAAGAAAAGGAGAAAAGAAGGGAGAGGAAAGATAGGCAATAGCTAACTTTCACTGAGTGACTACTGGGGGCAGATGTCATGCTTGCACTACATTTTCTCCATTTACAGATAAAGAAACAGAGGTAAAGACAGATGAACACCTCCAAGGTTATGACCAGGAGTGGACAAGCAGGGATTCCCATCCAGGCATCTTGACCATTGGATAGAACCCTTTGGAGCACATGGAGGTGGTAGTGAATGGGTGCATGTGAACAAGCAAGGACCAGCTGGATGCTTAACTCTCTGCAAAGCCTTCCTTTGCATTCATGCACCATGATGATTCCCTCCTTTGTGTCTTGCAGGACTGTGCCTTGTAGGCAGGTCCTTGTCTGTGGTCTGCCCCTGCACGTGCATGCATAGCTTGTCTTTTCAGCTGCAGCAAGTGCTTCTATAAAAAGAGATGATCTGTGTTCTTCCCTTTCTATTTTGTGCTGTGCACCCCTTCTTTGTGCAATCCTCATCCAACTCTTGGAGAAGGCACAGTGAGGTAAACTGACGGTAGTTATACTCATGTTGAGGCAGGTGAAATGATATGTCATTTCTTTGTTCTGCTTTAGGATTACTAGGACAAGCTCTGAAGGCTCCTCTCTCTGTGCCTTCACTCATGGTGCTCCCTTGCCATGAATTCTGTCCATCCTGCCAACGTTCTTCAACATCTCTCCTGAAATTTGCACTGTCCAGGCTGGTGAATTAATGTCTTCCTCTGTTATCCTTCCAACTTATAAATAGTGCTTACTTCTGGCTTCCTTTTGTTTTTGCCTCCTCCTCTTTAAAGACAGTGTCCATTTATTCTTTCCCCTGGGGCTTATCACACTCCTGGCATCCTGCCTTGCATACTTGTCCACCTCCGTGTCTTTAGACACACTCTAGGCTTTGCCTGGAAACACCCCACATACCTGCATGGCTCACTTTCTCACTGAATCACCCAACTCCTCAGAGAGACGTTGGGTGCTCGTGTAGGGAGGAAACATTCCAAGGAAATTCAAGTTCTCAGTTTCAGCCCTGAGAGCATAGAAGAAAGTATAAGAGGGTATGGGCAGCAACCCATATTGATGCCCCCACGCTACCTACAATAGTCCCCCAGCTGCTTCTCTTTGGTTGGTTGGTTGGTTTGTTTGTTTTAAAGATTTTATTTATTTATTTGAGGGAGAGACAGAGAGTGCACAAGCGGGGTGTGGGGGAGGAGGGGCAGAGGGAGAGGGAGAAGCAGACTCCCTGCTGAGCAGGGAGCCGGATGCAGCCACAACCCTGAGATCACAGCCGGAGAGGAAGTTGGATGCTTAACCAGGCTGAGCCACCCAGGTACCACCCTAGCTGCCTCTTTTTATGCCCCCAACTCACTGAGTTTAGCTTCCTAGCAGGTGTCTGCCTGCCCTAGTGATGGTTTGCAAACTCTCGTGGAGCTTCCTGGGTGTAATCTGAAACCCAAAACTGATCCCCAGGCACAGAGGGCAGAGAGACACTGAGGAAAGGCAGCCACTCCAGGTTGGCAGGTTTATTCAGCAAGAAAACTTACATTCAAGGCTTGTCTTGGGGCTGCAAGCAAGATAAGTCGATTTCCGCACCCACCTACCAAAGCCGGAAGTTTATAAACAGGCCTTCACTGGGTTCAGTCACATGTACTGTGCAGGTGTTCTCAACACAACATCATTATCCCGAGGCTGTGTCCTTGGAGCAGCTTCTGGGAGTGGGGAAGGCAGGCAGAGACCACATTCCGAGGACAGGGATATGGGTACAGCTTTATTTTCTGTTGTCTTTCTCCTCCTAGATTTCATACTCCATCAAACATTACTTTGTTTAATTCCCAGCACAACATCTGGCACATAGTAGGCATTGCTGCATAGATACTCATTACATGAATCAGTGAATAAATATGTGTTAGGGATTAATTGGCTGCCCTGTTTTGTTGAATTTTTATTTAAAAATAAAGTGTGGAATATCTTTTACTGCATTATCTGTTCAATCCTCAAAAGATTCTATTTTTTAATGTGTGGTAAGGTCTCGTTAACTGATGTGTTTGCAAATGACCTCAGCTTAGGCAACTGTCCCTTAGCTGTGACACCTTCTACTCAGGAGGGTTTTAATTGTGTTTCTCAGCATATTTACTATATATATTACTAACATAGAGAATCTACATGTCAAACACTCTTTATTTCAACAAATTTGGGGAAACCAACAACCAACTCTATTCTGTCTCTCTCGTCATCTATCACATGTACATGTATGTGTGTAGTGGTCATGGCAGGATAAGATGTCAGCAAAGGCAAGCTCCTTGGATACAGATGTTTTGGTTTATAGACGAGCAAATTGAGTCTCGAGTGTGTTTGTGATATATTCAAGGTCATGTTGCACAACAGTGGCAGAGCAGGTCTGGAATCCAGATTGTCTGCCTTCTAGAGGGACATTCTTTCTGCCACACAGCAGACATTTCATGAACTGCTGTATTGTGTGCCTAAGCTATGTTGCTTCCACATGGCATGGCTCTTGGAAGATGAGCTTTTTAAATGTTAATTCCCCAAGTGAACACCTGAGCTTGAGTGATATTATTCCTTCTATGTATATGAAGGGGAACATCTGTGAGAGGCTAGAGGATTGGCCATAGGTCACAAGAATGATTTGTTTGAATTCAAAGGCCTTCCTTGGATGTTGGGACAGTCCTTTCTTGTGGCTCAGAGAACAAAAAGTCATGCAAATCAGGGAACTATGTTCTGACTTCAGCCCATCTGGACCCTGATTACATGAAAGCAATTTCCTTATAATCCTTATTCTAGTACGTGCTTCTTCCCTTGACTCTTGGGCCATTGCTACATGAGGCCAATCCAGCTTGAGTGATTTGCTTCCCCTTAATGGACTTATTTTTGCCTAGATTGACTGGATGTTTTGCATTTACCCTCAGCAACAGATGAAAAGCCTTTTTTGGAGGGCCAAGACATTAACATCAATGTGTTGTTATAGGATGCTGAGTAACAGTAACCCAGGGCAATTGTATAATTGTTGATGCCTCCTATCATCTACTTTTTCCTTTTCTAAAACAAAGCATGAGGAAAGCTTGAGCACCCTGATGGTTATATTTTTGTTTCCAGAGCCATAAGCACCAAACTTCCAGAAAATCCACCATGCTGCCAAGGTGGCAAATGCTGCAGGCTTCATTCAGGGCATAAAGGGCACTGAGGTGTGTGTGCATGCTGGCCTGACTGCTCTGTGCACAGTGTTCCCCCAGACGTGTGCAGCCGCTCCCAAAGCCACAATGATGCTTGGTCTGCTAGAACAAGCAATGATGGGTTTAAACAGATCATCTCCAAAATTTCTTTGATAGAGTATATACAAGTACTTCTATTTTTATACTATCTCAATGCTGCGAAGTAGGTCAGAGATTGCAAATCTTCTCCCTTAAGCAATGGACGGAAGGTTCAGGGGAATGTGAGTGTGTGTGTGTGTGGGGGGGTGTTTCTGAGAGAGAATGAGTGCTTGAGGTAGAAAGACAGACAAAGAGAGAGACATAAATCTATTGGACCTTTGGTTGGCCCAACAAACTCACTTTTTGTGACTGGGTCAGTTTCTTCTTTATTATTTCTTCTCACCTTCTTGATTATTCATCTCACCTGGGATTATTCAGCCATGCTTTTACTATATCTTTGAAACAAATACTTGGCTCATTGCTTTCCAAACTCTCCTTTCTTTTTTTCTTCTAAGATAGGCCTTCAGAGGCATCCACTCATTCTCTACAGCCATGTTCTACGTCCTTGAGGCTGGCCAGTCACCACCAAATGTTCACAGAGGTGGGCCTGGATCCTTGCATGACCTGGACAGTACCATTCAGGGCTGATCTGGCCAGCATGACCCTGGCCAGCCAGATATCTTCAGTGTCACCTTGGTAATCCCATCTCTGGCCTCAGTGCTCCCGAACAATGCAGCTGGTGTCCAATCCCTTAGGTGCCCACTTCAGAAACCAAATCCCTAGAACAGAAACAGTAGCAACTACGACTCCAGGTTGTCCTGCCAGGCCTTAGAGGTTGTGGATTGCACAACTCCAGGGAGTAACAGGCACCTCATAGTTTTCAGAGATTTGTGTATTTACTCCAGGAAATTTTCGGCAGATAGGAAATAAAGTGTTCAGAGAAAGTGGTGCTTCTTACAAATTTGTGCAACATCACCAGTTATCAGGCAGGCTGCTTTCCTTGAGGAAGAGAAACTCTGTAAGCCCCTCCTTACCCTCTGGCTCCATAGTGGTCTTCAGCCAGCAACCTTAACTCACCCGTGACCCCAAA